TTCACAAATAAAATTTTGAATTCCGTCTATGTAACTGTGTGTGTGTGTGTATAAAATGTATGTTAGCACTCATCTCAATCTATGATGCCCAAAATTCGCGCCTTACTCAAAAAGTCCGTCCGCTGCACATAACACCCAGTCATGGTGCGTGAGCCCGTATAGGCGTGACGTCCATGGTACACACGCCAATTGTCGAAAATCACCACAGTGCCAGGGTTGAGCTTGAAACTCCATTGATTCTCAATGCGTTGCACAATTTCCAAATAAACACGAAAACTCTCATAGAAATCCTGCATTTGCGCCTGCGGTATGCTATCGAAGACCGCACGATCGTACACATTCAACCGCAGCTGCACTATTTCACCACTCACCGGGTCGACGCGTATAATAGGCGCCGAATGCTTATGATATTGACCCTCCTCAATGTATTCGGCGGGCACCGAGACACGAGTGAGTATCTCAAATGCGCGTGGATTACAATGTTTCAATTCCAGCGCTGCATACAAACCATCAGCGAAGAAATTTTCACCACCCGNGAATGCTTATGATATTGACCCTCCTCAATGTATTCGGCGGGCACCGAGACGCGAGTGAGTATCTCAAACGCGCGTGGATTACAATGTTTCAATTCCAGCGCTGCATACAAACCATCAGCGAAGAAATTTTCACCACCCACGCCATTGACGTGGCGTATGCAGTGCAGTGACTGAAGACCCGCAGCATCACAGAAATACGTATTATCCGTATGCAAGCCGAGATATTGTTTCGTGTATGCGGTATCCGCATGATCCTGCACATCCGAGAAGGTATACATTTCGCCGAAAAATGTTTTCATCGGCGGAAAGAGGCGTCGCACAGCCATTTCGGTCATTGTTGTATTCGGTGGTACGTCGTCAATGAAAGCAATGCCATAACGTATAAGACTTTGCACGATTTTTCGTACTATCACCTCTGAGCTGACCAATTCGGCGAGTGTGGTGCGCAAGTGCGTTTCGTGTGCTTTGATAAGTGACTGATTCCAAGGCGTACGGACAGTGGACTCTTGCACACGTATCACCATGTGTTCCACCTGCGCGTCGTAAAGGAAGTCAATGTCGTAAACGGATGTGTGGCCATCGCTCCCTGAAATTGTGGTAGGACTTAGAAATAACTAATAAAAAAAAATAAATCTTTTTCACTTTCGTTCACTTACAGTGCACCTCATATTGCAACTCATCCTTTATGTATTCGGCTCTCAATGGTTTTACTGTTTTCGGTATANAAGAGGCGTCGCACAGCCATTTCGGTCATTGTTGTATTCGGTGGTACGTCATCAATGAAAGCAATGCCATAACGTATAAGACTCTGTACGATCTTTCGTACTATCACCTCTGAGCTGACCAATTCGGCGAGTGTGGTGCGCAAGTGCGTTTCGTGTGCTTTGATAAGTGACTGATTCCAAGGCGTACGTACAGTGGACTCTTGCGCACGTATCACCACGTGTTCCACCTGTGCGTCGTAAAGGAAGTCAATGTCGTAAACGGATGTGTGGCCATCACTCCCTGAAATTGTGGTAGGACTTAGAAATAACTAATAAAAAATAAAAAATCTTTTTCACTTTCGTTCACTTACAGTGCACCTCATATTGCAACTCATCCTTTATGTATTCGGCTCTCAATGGTTTTACTGTTTTCGGTATGTCAAGCAAATTATATCTGCGCTGCTTGGTCTCCACATTGTAGCAGTCACCGCAACGACAGTGATCACGTAGCCAAAATGTATTGATTTTCAAAATTTTACCACTACTTTTATGTTTAATTTGTATCATATTTCAGTGTTGGGATTTGTAAACTGCGCGTTGCTGGGCTTCTGTTAAGAGTTAGAAGATTACTATCTATCCAATTGCGAATTGCCGGACTTTGTCTACAAAAATTTAATGCTCAATCGTCATACATTCTCGTTGTTCTGTTGGAAGGTATGTATGTAGGTATGTACATATTTAAGTATATCTATCTCCGTGTAATCGTCTTGCTTCCGAACGTGAAACGATCAAATCAACTTTGATTATACTATACTATTTAAAAAGTATGGTGATAAGCCTCTAAGAATAGGGTAGCTTTACTGGAAGCCGCTGATAAGCGAAACTGTTTAGACAGTCTCACGAGGGCAAACGGATAAGTACTTTATGATTCAGCCCAGGGGCGCACCCAGGAATATATTTTAGGGGGGGTTTTATATATATTTCTGAAGATATATCANAAAGCTACTAGTTGTGAACTAGAATTCTACCAGTTTGCGTTTCAGCCCAACTAGTTCACGTTCTATCCCTTTTCAATGTTAGCGACTGGTATTTTTAACATTGCGATGTCCTACGATATATCAATTGTCAGGCTATGCATCAGCATCTACTAGTAGAAATACTAGTAGCATCATACCAGTTGATGAGATAGTCTGCCAATTAATCCCCTATGAAAAGCATTAGTATGCCTTTTTGCTCGCGGCGCTCCAACAGTCGCAATGGCCGACAGAGCAAAGCACTCGCTTGGTATGCCTGAGGTCCCAGGTTCAAGCCCGGGCGCAGGGAAATTTTTTTTTTANCTCAAGATGAGCTCAACTTTCAAAAGTACCTAATAAAAAATTTTAAAAAATAGTCACTAAAAATAAATTTATTGATTTCAAGAAATTTTTACACTTTTATGTTAATTTTTTCGATTTCTGGTTTCTGGTTTTCGATAGAGATGGCGATTTTTCACGATTTCACATTTTTTAATATTTCGAATACCGAAAAAATTATCTGAACTCTTAAGAAAAACGAAAAATTCATATAAAACGACGGACAAGAAATGGAAAAGAAATTTTCTTCTACCAAAATTTCTTAAACCAGTTTGCAGCTCTCAAGAAAAAAAATGGTCGTATATTATTTTCTCATGAAAATTTACAGCAAAAGCAAGGCGTTTTTATCAAGCAACAGAAATTATAATAAATATTTCTTATGATTTCCTTGAGAGCTGGTTTCTTAGCTTTAAGATACAGTTTGTATTTGAGGTTATTAGCTTTAGGGGAGTTTGAACCTCAAAACCCACCCCTTGTGTGCGCTAATGATTCAGCCTACATAGTTTTTACTGCTTCCGAGCTGAGTACTTTCAAAGCTGGAGTCTCGGTGTCCATTCGAGCGACATGGCCAAGCCAACAGAGCCGTTGTATTTTGATTCGCTGCACTATGTCCATGTCGTTGTAAAGCTCATCGTTACATCGTCTGTGGTACTTGCTGTCGCCAGCGCGTAAATTCCCGTAAATCTTCTAGAGTGTGGTTTTAGTACGTCAAGGTCCATTACCTTACTCCTGAATTGCATACTCTGTCCAAAGTAGCGTTTCTTGGCAAGAGTGATTCTACGTTAGATTTCGATGTTAATGCCAGTTCCCAAGTAAACGAAATTCTCCACTTTCTCGAAATTACAACTGTCAACAGAGACATGGGTTTCAAGGCGCGAATGCGCTAACTGTTTATTTGATGATATGAGATGCTTCGTCTTGTCGTCGTTTACCACCAGACCCATTCGCTTTGCTTCCATATCCAACTTAGAAAAGGCAGAACAGACTTCGCGGTCAGCTTTCAAAATTTGAACTACATTCCTAATGATACTTATTTTTTGTAATTCAGCAGAGAAAATATCTTTATCTAAGTGTATACATATGGATTTAAATGAGCGATTCTACGTGAAGTGATCAAAGTAAAATTTGTTTTCCTCCTATTCCACTCCAACTTGGAGCATTACTAGTACTCATAGATGTAAATTTTTGGCCAACATATTTTTTTCATTTAGTCCAATATTTTTCAAGAAGATCAATGACGTCTTTGAACAAATTTTAAATAGTTCGTTAAGCGTCATTTCATCGATAAGTTACAAAACGTTCGTTAACAAAAAAAAAAATAAAAATTAATTAAAAATTGTGCCCTTCACTCAAATAAACTCAAATTTATATTGAACTAAAAATTTAATTTTTTAGGTTACAAAATATTTTTTTTTCTAAAATGCACTTTCTTTATTTAAACATTTAAGGAAAAAAATTATTAAAATATGCAGTGCAACGAAAAACACCAAAACTTTCACCCCCTCCTTTCGGAAAATATTGGACTAAATGGAAAAATATTATTTTCAAAAATTTCCATCTATGAGTACTATGTACTAACGGTCCAAATTGAAGCAGTATAGGAGAACAAAAATTGTACTTTCATAACCGGTGTGTTCAAGCTACGCAATAATAATTGCAAGATTGCCGCTTTCTGATGCTCTGTTGGTGATGATCTACTGAAAATCGATTGAAACGCTGCAGAAATTGCGCAGTAACACTGCCGAATACACTCCACTTCACGTGGAATCGCTAAAAAATTAAATGTCTTTCGTATTTTCGAAATAGCTTATCGAATGGCAAAACCGATTTCGATTCCGTAAAAGGTACTTTTTTGAAGATTCTGGAAGGTTTTTCGGTAAAAAAAAATTCGTTGTCGGTCACACAAAAATAATTGTGGCAAAATTGCAGCACCTACGTTCATTTTTCAGTTAGCGCTCGCAAAAATAGTTTTTAATGAAATCACTTTTTTCCGCCACTTTTTTATTCAAAAATTAAATATAACAAATAAAAAAACAACCTTATGGCGCATTCAATTTTAATATAATAAGTACAAGTTTGAAGTAGCTAGGACTTTCGTTGTTTTCGGGCACTTTTTTTGTTAGGTTTCGTTCATTTTTTCCATATACATACATATGTACATAAACAATGAGTGACACTGTCAACAAAAAAAAGTTGCCAAAAAGCAAAGATAAGTCCTAGCTTATACTAAAATTGAATTGGCTACAAGGTTCGTTTTATTATTTGTCATATTTAATTGTTTATTAAAAAAAGACTCGAAAAAAACATTTTCCATTAAAAACACTAATTTTTCCGAAGTGATCCGCCGATGCACTAAGTATTTACGGGTTGGCCTATGTTTTGGCGGAGAATCTGAGAATCATAATTTTCCTTTTAACTAAAACAGTATCGTGCACATTTCCTCATGTGTTTCTATGCAAATGACTTTTAGCGTACCTGATTCACTAACGCCAAAATATGTATTAAGTATTTCTGTTTTGCTATTTTCACTTAACTATGAACATTTGTAAATGCTTATGCATATCTACATCTGTATGTGCATAACTATGAATATATACTAGGGTGACGATTAATTTGAAATATCGGGTTTTTGTTAGGTCGCAATCACTAGGTTGGTAAAAAAATACAAAAAATGGGTCATAAAAAGTACTTATTTTTTGTCTAAAAAATAGTATGAAATTTTATATTTTAAAAATTAAATATAATATGTATATACATAGGGGAACCTTAAGGTTACAAAATGGAGAATAGTCGACGATAAACATCGAATACTCTCTGAGTTGTATATCGCAGCTGATCGCCTACTCCATTTAGGACCCTCGCAATATAAATGGATGCGCTTGCTTGGGGATGTTATAATCATGGATGACGAGGCTCCAGTGAAAATATCTTCGACTCGGCGCCCAAGAATGCAATGGAAGGAACAAATAGAGAAGCATCTGCCTACATTCGGGGTGAACAACGGGCGCAAAGGAGTGAGGCAATTGACGAAGGTTTTTGGTCTCGCACCAAAAGGGAAAAAGAAGTATATATAGCTCCTCTTCTGCTTAGCTTCCGAGTGGAAAATTTCGGTTATTCTTGTTTGATTGGTGCAACCGGGCATTAATCTGATATATCGTTTGTTTCAATCAGTTAACGTATTCGCTAGATGTTGACAATCAAAGTTACTTTTTCTAAAATTCTGAGCCTTTGAATCAATTGCGCGAGCTAAAGATAAGCTTTGTTGTAATTTTTTGTGGCCAATTATTATTTGCTTAGTCCTAACGCAAAATAATATCACAATTACAATAAAATTAAGTGACCTTTATTTACACCACCATAAAACATCGACCCAGCCTAATGTGCATATGTATGTATCTCGAATTGTATGTACATATGTACATACGTTTTGCAATTCACAAACTTATTGAAAACTATAACGAATATATATGTATGTACATATGTACTAGATTGTAGTTGGCAAACTAATATTACGACACGTTGCTTAATTAACTCACTGTCATCAGCCGCTGCATGCATCATATCCACCACACAGATTCGCCCACCATAGCCGCTTTAGCCCCTGTTTAGTACACTAAAACATACGCCAAGTTATTGTTTATAGTTTACAACTGTTAGCAAAATGTAATTTAGTGCAATAAGCGGCNATCATATCCACCACACAGATTCGCCCACCATAGCCGCTTTAGCCCCTGTTCAGTACACTAAAACACACGCCAAGTTATTGTTTATAGTTTACAACTGTTAGCAAAATGTAATTTAGTGCAATAAGCGGTAGTGAAATATACTTGTGACCCTGTAGGAAATGGGAACTGTTCCGAGTAAAACGAAACGTAAATATTTCTTCCCTAAATTAATTTGGAGGATTCAAAAGACATCTTTAAGCGTCGTAGATAACGGTTAAAATGGTTTTTGAAGATAATAGCTAATAATATGTATATTTTCCAGCATTTTAAAACCATCCACTAGAAATATAAGTCTTGTCCCTTGGATTCAGCTGATTCAAACGTATATATGTTTTGCTAAGCACTCAAATTTCCACTTACCTGCAAACCATTTGTGACTAAACTACAACTGTGTATTGGAACACCCTCTACGCTTATCTATGATATTTTATAACACATGTGACCATGTAAACGTGCCTTTGCTCGAAACTTTCAAATGTGGTTTGCATTACGTACAGATCGTACGCGTGAGTACTAGATGCCTACTAATTTTCTTACGCTACAATTGTTTATTAGAATTATTTCCATATATTTTTGTTTTTTTTTTAGTGTTTAGTAGTCATGTGTTTGTAT